TTCCTTCCTTCCTTCCTTCCTTCCTTCCTTCCTTCCTTCCTTCCTTCCTTCCTCCTTCCTTCCTTCCTTCCTCCCTCCCTCCCTCCCTTCCTTCCTTCCTTTTGAGAAAAGGCAGAAAAGAGAGCAGTTTCTTCTTTTTAAGGCTAATTACCCCATCTCGTTCTTTGAATTTGGCAAAAGAAAGCTACTTGATGTCTTTCTTGTGCCAAATAATTGTGCCAGGATGAGGGAGGGAAGGAAAGAAGGAAGGAAGGAAGGAAGGAGGGAAGGAGGGAGACTTGCTTTCTGAAAAACACATTTTTAGTCATTAAAAAGCCAAATGTTAATATTTTTTATCAATCTGAAGCTTATTTTTTCTTATTTTCTTTATTCAGTTTACATGGGGGCCCACTTGCCAAGTTGTGTCCAGTAAATTTTAATTATTTGAATTTTCCAGTCCCAGAGTGAACTCATTAATACTTGGGGCATAGCCACCCTGAACTGAAGCATCATATGCTGAATTCCCTTTACTGATTGAAAACAACAACCACATTTTTCCTGATACTCCTGAGATACCCTTTCCTTTAATAATTTACTGCTGCTGTTAATGCAGGGCAGAAGTCTCTGCTGCTATTTCAGCAAGTGATATCATTCACTCCCCCTCCCCACAAAATATCCCACCCCACATATAACTTGGAACCGAGTGTTTGAAGGGAGTGTTTCCTGGGAGGTTTTTCTTCTTTTGTCTTCCTTTTTCCAAAGCTCTCCCTGTGGAGGGCCTTCTTTTAATTCTTTATCATCCCTTTATTCCTTTATTCATTCATTCATTTGTTCGTTCATTCATTCGTTTGTTTGTTTGGCTGGGCGTTATGGATGGGATATGGTGACGAAGGTATTTGTGGCAAGAATACCCCTCCGTGGACTTTGCCTTCTTGTGCTTTTTAATATAAGAGTGAGCAAATGCAGGCAGGATGCTGAAGAAAGCCCGGTTAAACCTGCCATTTAAATCCTCTTGTGTAAGTTTGATATCCAAAGTGGAAGGACAAATGCCATATAAGTCAATTAAAGCATTAGGTAATCTAATTGTGCTGTGGTCACCAAGTGGCTTAAAGGCTGAATGGAGGACGCGCTCTCCCCGCCACCCCCTCCCCACCTCAGCCTTCCCCTGAGGCCCTTGCAAATGAGGAGAGGAGGAGAAACTCGGCCCAAGGAAGAGGGAGCAAGAACACACACACACACACACAGCCACACAGCCACAGACCAACAATAGAAATGAAAAGACCCAGCGCTGGAAAGCTAGGCTTGCAACCACAAAGCCACCCCTAGAGAGTTGGGATAGGTTATAAATATTACAAAATACATCAGTTAAAAAGAGAGTAGCAGGAAAAGAGGTATTTGGCTGGATAATGTGGAAAATGTTGGGGGCCTCAGCCTCTCAGCCCAGCACTCCTGTTTTTTTTCCCACCTTCTGGAGCCTGGAAGGTTTTTGGAATTTGCTTAGCCCCTCAGCAAGGCTTCTGAAATGTCTGTGCTCATTACGCTAGGAGGATGAGAAACCCACAGGCCCGTAGTAAAAAAACCCAACAAGAACAACAACAAAAACGTGCCTACCGTCCATGTCCTATTGTTTATTTTTATTTTTCTTATATGTATCAATTTCATGTATTCATAACTATGTTTATACTTATACCTGTTATAATCACTTGACAAATAACTAAATAAATAAAATATAATTATAGAGCCAAAAAAATGGGTGAGGGGGCGTGGGGGAAGAAAAGAACGCCAAAACCAGCCCAGAGCAATTAAAATTACTTAAGTCAGGTCGAATGATGTGCTGCTAGCATTCCTCCAGCTTGGCGCTTGATTGCTTCATTGTGTGCATTCCTCTGCCGAGTTGTGATGGAGCAGCTGAGCCCAGAGGAGGAGGGAAGGGCCGGGGTGGGCTTCTTGGCGTCACTCTGCCAGGTTGTTAAAAGAGCTCTGGCTGGCTTGCCTGCAGACTTTCTCAACCAGGAAGCTTCCAGATGGGTGCCCAAAAGGATGGTGTGCTAGATGATGAAATAGGAATCCAATCTAATTAGTAGTCATTGGTTTAAGAAAAGGCTGCCTAGTGGGAAAAAAATAGTATGAAAAGCAGCTCTTTTAGGCAGGGACAATCCCATTAAGTGGGCTAGGCTGTGCTTTTATCTTTCTCATAATTTAAGGTAGGCATCCATGCTTCAGGAAATACATACTGGTAGTCATCAGGTTCCAACCACAGTTGGAGCCTGGATTTCCATGGCTAAGAGACTTGGTCATTAAATAAGTCACTTCCAATTTTATTGCCTTTTTTGCATGGTCGTTAACCAAATTTGGCTTACCCTGTTGACTTGGCTTGTCGGAAGCTCCCTGGGAAGGTCATAAAAGGTGATCACATGACCCCGGGATGCTGCAACCATTGCAAATGTACGCTAAGTTGACAAGAATTTGGTTTTTGATCATGTGACTGTGGGAATGTTGGAAGTGTAAGGACCAGTTGTGAGTTACTTCCCCCCCCCCATTGTATCTTCAAACTTCGATGGTTAAACAAATAGTCAGAAATCAGGGTCTACCTATACATACATATGCTGACTTTGTAAAACTGCTTCAAGAGAGCTGTAAAGTATTGTGAAGTGGTATATAAGTCTTAAGTGCTATGGCTATTTCTATCTACATGGCTATGTAGATGGCTACAATAGCTATGGTTATTTCTATCTACATTCATACATAAAGAGAGTAAAGAGTAAGAATGGTGCTCCTTCCTTGCTTGATGCTCCATGATTGGTATCTGAATCACTTCTGGATGGAAATCGTGCCAGGGACTCTTCTGGGAATCAGTTCAGGAACTGCCCTGAATACTTACTGCTGCCTCAAGCTAATTCTGAAACAACTTGGCCTCTTTTATCATGTATCTGAATTACTTCAAGATGCTGAATTTCACATTAAAAACATACAATAATTTGACCTTCCAAATGACTCTAGCTTCCATATCAACCAGGGATAGAATTCTACCGGTTCGGTCCGGTTCTCTAGAACCGGTAGCTCTGAAGAGCAGATGACACCGAACTGGGTCGCTCCAAAGATCTTCTTTTCTTCGGTTGAGCCTACCTACCCACCTGGGCTCTAGGCTGCCTTTTATTCCCTGCTAAAGCAACCTTAGTTGCTTTGTGCAGCACAGCTGAGTGCTGCGTGTCAGCAGGAGATGGTTATAGCTTGCAGGAGAGGTTGTTTTAAAAGTACTGTGCATGCGCACTCAGCAAACCGGTTGTTATGCCGGTAGGATCCCACCCCTGTTATCAACCCTGCCCCCCCTTCTTTAACTCAGAGTTCCCCAATGTTTTCGGCTTTGCGGACGAGCAGAGGGGGGGAGGGGATGATTCTGTGCTTGGCGGGCAAGTGTGTATGCACACAGCTTGCTCACTGCTCCCATAAGTGGGGATGCGTACGCTCACCTGCCACTTCCATGGCCAGGTTCTGATAGGCTCAACGCCCAATAGTGGGCCACAGCCCGGGGGCTGGGGACCCCCTCCTTTAAATGACCCTCCAAGACCAGTTTTCATTTCGCAGGTATATATTTTCTATCAGTAGTTTAGCAAGAAGGTTTCCTTAGCAGTGGGAATTTCCCTTCCCATAACATTTTGCACGGAGGATAATGTTACTGTAATTTACAGTATTTTAATTTACTCAAATTCTACTAAGAGTATAATTTTTGCTATAATTTTAATAGGCAATTGGTAGTTGCTGTTGCTAGCCTTGTACTACACCCTCAAGCAGATGTTCTTGTATTCTCGTTGCCAGAACCCTGGCCAGCATTTTCAAAGATATTGGAAGCTGAAATTTAGCAAAATCTAAAGTGCTGTGAATTGCTCTCCAGATACCCAGGGTAATACAGTCCCTGAATCTTGAAAGGGATACATCAAGTTTTAATCTAAAATAAATACTTTGTTGAGCATTTATAAATTATGTTCTATTCTTGACAGAAAATACTGCCTCCATATTAATTATTGTAAGCCATGATATTGTAAGCTTTGAATATGAATACTCTGAATAAATGACAAATCCTTGCAAAAGAAAACATCTCATATATATGAGATAATAATACTACTTTATAATGCTTTTGTAAGGCCACACTTGGAATATTGCATACAATTTTGGCCGCCATGATGTAAAAAAGATGTTGAGACTCTAGAAAGAATGCAGAGAAGAGCAACAAAAATGATTAGGGGACTGGAGGCCAAAACATAAAGAACTATTGCTGGAACTGGATATGTCTAGTCTTACGAAAAGAAGGACTAGGCGTGATATAATAACAGAGTTGCAATATCTCAGAGGCTGCCACTATGATGAGGGAGTCAAGCTTTTCTCCAAAGCACCTGAGGGTAGAACAAGAAACAGTGGGTGGAAACTAATCAAGGAGAGAACCAAACTAGAACTAAGGAGAAATTTCCTGACAGTTAGAACAATTATTAAGTGGAACAACTTGCCTCCAGAAGTTGTAAATGCTCCAACACTGAAAGTTTTTAAAAAGAGATTAGATAACCTTTTGTCTGAAGTGGTGTAGGGTTTCCTGCCAAAGCAGGGGGTTGGACTAGAAGACCTCCAAGGTCCCTTCCAACTCTGTTATTCTACTCTACTCTACTCTACTCTACTCTACTCTACTCTACTCTACTCTACTC